CACTGATGATGCTGCTCGGCTGGTTTCAACCCGCTCCTCACCTACATCAGTACATGGCCCAGACCCACATCTCCCACCTGATGATCCTACTTCAGCATCGTATATTCCCAGGGCAGCTCGAATGATTCCAACCTCTACAACCGTTCATTCCGTATTCATCAAGAAGCTGAGCTATCCCTTGTCTTCTCGTCCTGATGAACTTTGGATCGTGGAAAGGACACTCGATGGTATTGAAACGTGGAAGCCAGTGGAAACGTTTTTGGAGAACCTGCACCTCACCAGAGATCGTGCCACCCTACGCACTACGGCTAATAATTGGCGCCAATACTATGATGTACCCATCCAATCATCCTCCTCTACGGCAACTTCCGTTCCTGTTCTCCCACATCCTGAACACACCAATGTCTACGTTTCTCAACCGTACGAAGCGATACCGGACCAGCTTCACATTTTACAGTCATGCTGGGGACGTTCGGCCCAACACCACTCACAAGGTACCACTACTTCTTTATCTTGGCCGCCATGGAGATCTACACCACCTTCTTCACCCTCGGCAACATTTCACCGGACCTTACATTCCAATCACCCTACCGCACCTGCTCACCATATACAGTGTCCACTGGATGCGAACGACCCTGGCCCGATGGATATGTCTGATTCCAGTGTGTAACACACCACATCATTTTGCGGAATGGAAAAAGAACAGTGACTAAACGTCGATTCGTGACTATTCACTAAGTACACCGTCTTCTTCCATGTTTTGCTTGTGGGCTTTATTCTTTGATCACTATCGTATTCTTATGTCGCAGCGTGGGCTTTACGCTTGATACTCGACGCCATGGCTCATTCTTCTCGCCCTCACCCATATCGCGCTACATCCAGGGTTGATACACCACAAGGTCCCCGAACTGCTGCATGGCTTGCCGGACACCGAGGCCTTCCTGGTGATGTGGACCCTCCTCCATACAGACCTGTTCTGATTTTAGTTGACTACTCTCCTTTACAGGAGTTGACACACCGTAGTGAACCTGACCGTGATCTCTACATGGCTCTTGCCAATTCAAATTTCAAGAATGTTAGTGCAGGCGAACTTGAAGCTCTTTTTACCTGGTCACGCCAGCTGGAACCAATTGAAGCAGGCATTCTTCCCATTCGAGACCTACGTCCCGCCATCACAACAAGATTGAGGTCCCAATGGGACATCCAGTTTGACCCTTCGCATTTGGAGTTTCGCTATTGCGATCTGGAAGGTGATGCATTCCAAGTTCCCAATGATTGGACTGTCATGCAGCTTTTGGAAGAATACCGTCCTGACTGGCGAATCCGGCAGTACAACTACATCGAATCCACTTTGCTCGTACCAGGTACTTCACAGCCTTTCGTGTTACGTCTGAGATGCCCTAAAGTTAGCCCTGGAGTTATCCTACCCTGATGTGCTTCACTGGCGAGCAGGAAAATGCCCGACTTGTTCCTTTCCTTTCATCCATGACACTCTATTGACAAGGCGGACTCTTTGGAATTTCACCTTTCGATTCATGTCCACCACTTTAGGTTCCGTGCACTGCTCTTTCCGTGGATTCAGAACAATAGGATTGACCATTGGATATTACTATTATTATTCTCTGGCTCGGCTTATTTATTTTCCTGATTCCTCAGCCTTTGGTTGTGCCATTTAACGCATTTTCTGACCGTCTCACCCATGGAGCATAAACGTGACGCTACCGTGGCGGGCTTGGGTTGGCCTTCCAATCCCAACCGTGGACTCGCCTCCACCGCCCTTGATCCAGTGTCAGGTGGCCAGGCTTCTGAACTATGTCACTCTACCGCCCCTGAACCTACGACCTCGACCACCTCGGCACCTTCGGCAGCTGACATTACAACCAACGACATCGGAACCACGCCCCACACCGATACATACTCAGGCCCTGCACTTCCTGATGTTCCTTTCCCGACTGAGCCAAGTCCTACCTACAACTTCTTCCATGGTGCTCACTTCTCATCACGCGTGGTCCACCAGATCCACTTCAAGATCATTACCCACTCCAACAATACCAGGGAGTTATTCATCGAAGAGATCCCCATGTCGGGGCTCTCCAAATGTCGTGATCCCGAGCACTACTTTTATGGTCTTTCGGGCAATTGGGAGTGGTCCCTGCGCACTGCGGATTATTGGCGCCATCACTTTGAAATTCCTCTAGTACATGGGCACCATCCTTTTCACAATGTTCCCATTGAGACCACTTCTCCTACGGAGGCAACCCGCTTAACTACGAAGATCCAGGAGCTGGCCAAGCAACTTTCAGCCACTTTGACAACCGCTATGGCATCTGGGGAAATCAACGACACGTGGAGGATGGTTGAAGGCATGAGCTTCCGTGACGCGATCCAAATACTTCAACTCGAAGCGAATTTCCCTTCTGAGTGAATGACTGCGGCGATGTACACTAGCACCGTGTAGCCTTATTGGATTTGATTGGCTCTGCCGACCTCAGCCGCGATGTTCTTCCAAAATAATCAAACCCCGCTACATGCGGGGTGTGTGTGTGTAACATCTGAACAGATGTAAAACTTCTTTTGTTCTAACCTTCTCACATTTGCAGGGGGTGCCAGGGATCATTGCAAGTCTGGCACTAACAAAGACACTTGCCTTGATCTGTGATATCAGAAAGGGACGCCTTTCTGACGTACCTGCCAATTTTACTGGAATGGGAAGAGGCTCAACCCAAGAACCTCCATGTGAAATTTCAATTTACTGCACTGTTGACGCAATCTGGAATCAATTTTGACATTTACATGCATCAGAACCTTCCTCAGTTTTTCGCCGAAACCATGTCGCCGACAGTATTTTTTGACTCTCTGGATTAACTCGCCGAAACCATGTCGCCGATGTATTTGGATTATTTTATCAAAACCACGTCGCCGATTCATCTATTCATTTTTGATGACGATCTTGGCCATGGAAACCATTCAGAAGAACTTCTATTATTCGTAGGGTGCATCGTTATTTTCGTTGTTTCATTTCTAATCTGCATGTTTCAGGATTCAGTTCCTGCCGGATCATATAATGATCCATTCTTATCTAGTGTGTGCGTCTTCAAAAAGATCCACTGATTTCGCATACGCCACGGAGAGCATGCTCATGTCTTCCGTTTGCGCTGAATTTTCATGAGCTTGAAGCTGACAAGATGTGCTTGAGATGCTTCCATACCCATTTCAAACACGATAAGAAAATTCTGTTCTTTCCTGCCACGGTTCGCGTTTCGACCTTTTATTTTACCAGTGCTTAGGCTTCTTGCAATCTCTACATAAACGGCTGCAGAGCAAATCTCCATGTCATCTCCTCTTGTGATTATAAGGGAATCTATGTGACTGTCGGATTGTGATTGTAAGTATCACATTACAGTATTGTACATACTATTCACAAAAGACAATGCATGGAAACACAAGGCTATGCCATGTGGTGTGAGGTCTTGCTCTGTAGATATGCACGAAACTATGAACACATGGACTCAAAAATCTCTACATACATGTAAAGCAAGGAAATCCACATTCTTTCTGTTTTGAACAGACATATGTAGTTATCCCGATTCTGAATAAATTATTGACTTATAGTCAAAACATTGAAAAACAGGAGAGAACCAAACGAATTGCTCTGCTGTCAGGTACCATGTATCGTGGTGGGGATGTGGCAGAAACGAACCATTTGTGCCAAATTCTGGGTAATGTCAGGAAAACAGAATGTCCACTCCATCTAGGTGGACAGAACCGTTGTGTTGCCATGTTTGCAGTCATGGTCAGTCCGGGCTGGGAATGGTTTTGTGTTTATATATTCATGAATGATGTAGAGTGATGCAGTGTGACGTGTTCGCCCATTTTTGTGTATAAATCTGAGAAGTTCCTAAAATTGAAGTAGCTGTTCTAGGATAACGGTATTGCGAATGTACCGGTGGATGTATTCACATGTGGATCTTGGAATGCACTGGAGTGTGTGTGTGTGTGTCCGTATGTGTGTACGTATGTGTGTACGTATGTGTGTACATATGTGTGTACGTGTGTGTGTGTGTGTTTTTGTACGTATCTATCTATCTATCTATCTATCTATCTATCTATCAATCTAATCGAATCTAATCTAATCTAAACTAAACTAAACTAAACTAATCTATCTATCTATCTATCTATCTATGTATCTATCTATCTATCTATCTATCTATCTATCTATGTATCTATCTATGTATGTATGTATGTGTCTATGTCTGTATGTCTGTATGTCTGTATGTCTGTATGTCTGTATGTTTGTATGTCTGTATGTCTGTATGTCTGTATGTGTGTGTGTGTCTGTGTGTCTATGTGTCTATGTGTCTATGTGTGTGTATGTATGTATGAATGTATGAATGTATGAATGTATGAATGTATGAATGTATGAATGTATGAATGTATGAATGTATGAATGTATGAATGTATGAATGTATGAATGTATGAATGTATGAATGTACGTACGTATGTAGGTAGGTAGGTAGGTAGGTAGGTAGATTAGGTAGATTAGGTAGGTATATCTGTACATTTCTACGTCTGTACGTGTGTATGTGTCTATATGTAGATGTTCACGTGTGTATGTGTGTCTGTGTATGTATATGTGTACGTGTACGTGTACGTATGTGTATACGTGTATGTGTGTTTGTGATTGTTTGCGTATGTGTGTGTGTGCATGCGTGCATCTATGGATGTATGGATGTCCATCAGTGATTGTGTGCACGTACCCTGGCATTTCCGGCTATCTGCAGTCTATCTGCAGTCTATCTGCCTACAAACTGTCTGTGCGCCGCCTGCAAGCTGCTGCTCTCTAAGTCCCATCATATGGGTGTGTCTGAAAATCGAGGACTCCAAAATTTGATGATACGTTCAATGAGTATCATCATTTTCCGATTAAAATTGCCATTTTGGGGTCCCCATTTTCAAACACATCCATCATCCAATGTCTAGTATGAAACCAAGGCAGTTGCGAGCTCTGCCACTGTCGCATTGGCATTCTCTCTTTGCGCTGCCGCCAGCGCAGCCGCACCGCTTGCTCGGATGCCTTCACGACTTGGCGACTAAGGAAGCAGTGGATCACTTGCTCAGTGGAAAGCGACAGAGCAAATGAAAAGAAACTCCATTATAGTAGGAGAAACTATAGTGTCGTATAGTGTCTTAGAGTGTCTGATAGTGTCGGATAGTGTCTGATAGTGTCTGCTAGTGCATGGAAAAGGAAAAGCTGGCGCCTGCAGTCTGTCCACCTCCAGAAGAGGAACCACCTTCAAACACTTCAAATTGACTTCGAATGCATATAGAAATCAGGGTTGATTGCTGACAACAAGCAAAGTTGACGCTTGAATTTAGCATTCGGAAGGAGGTACCCTCTGGTCTCGACATACAACGCACGAGATCAATCTTTCCAAGGAGGCTTCGTTTGAAGTGTTTTGAAGTGGTGTTCATACCGCGCGAACGACAGCGCGTCCGTGTGAAAATCATTCCAGATCAACGCATCAATGTTTTGTACTCCACAGGAAATCGGGCAGTGCTACTGAGAATTGACTGAAGTCATCTAGCTCCAGTTTTGAAGCACACGGTGACGGACTGGCGAGGTACAACAGTACAACATGTCTCGCTGTCGGGCCAACTGACCTGCCAACGGACCGGCCTGCCAAGGTCGCAGCCTGACCTGCTAATACAGCCTGTGTTGCTGCGTCCATGCCGGCAATCTGCCCGATATATGCAGCAGCCAGACCAGCTGTTGTTGCATCCTCAGCGCCCCAGCTGTGTCTGTGTCGTTTCAATCGTCAACAACCTGTATGACTCACTGAATCTCACTGTATGACTCACTGAATGTGGATTGAAACATGTGCCATTTGAGCACTGGCCTCCAGCGTGGCAGCACTACCCGAGCTATCCGCCACAGCAGCAGCAGAGGCGGCCACAATGGCAGCAGCGACCTCTTCCTTGCTGGATGTAAATTGAATGTGGCCAACGACATGCAAGCAATGCATCAACGCAAATGTGGATACGTGACGGACGGAGAAAGGACCCAAGCATGCATTGCTCAATCGAAACAAAATTCATCTGTCTCTCTCCCAACCAATCAAAGTATACTTTCGAAGCAGAGGAGACAAAGCTAATATCAAAATATGTCCAAATATCATGTTATGCATGTCACGTTAAGCTTCATCGCACGCTACACCAAGCTTCTTGGGTCATTCCGCTTCTGTTTCCTGAAGTAAGGGCAGCCTGTGCTGCTGCCACCGCTTGTTGCTCCAAGGTCATGCTCTGCTGTTCCGCCAAGGCATCTGCAGCAGCTGCAGCAACTGCTGCCTTCGAAGCGAGGAACTTCGGCAGGATGCGAAAAATTTGTATATACATACATCGTACATATATCATCATATTATATGTCTATATCTTGTATGATCTTATATCTATATACTTATCCATGGTGTATCTGTTCTTGATTCATGCTTTCTCTATGGTTTATCCATGTTTATATTCCATCATTCTGCTTCAATGTCACGATACACCACTGTGAAACGAACTCCTGAAGACTTGTCCAAAGGATGCCAGCTTTGTTTTGACACGAACAGAACAAAAATTAAGTTCCAGCTCAGAAAACTATCACCCCACTGACCTTTCGAAGCACCTTCCCACTGTTATGTGGTAATGATTTATACTATACAGTATATCAAACTCAAACAAAAATATGCAATAATATGTTGTCTCTACTGCTGAGGAGTGATGTGGCTCAGTGTGATACCCAGTTCCACGTTCCACTACGATCACTACGTTCCGCTGGCCAGTCTCTGGTCGCCTGTTCCGCAGGTGTTTGGCTTTCGTTGTATGGAAGCATCACAGTGTAGACGCGTCCAAGTGCTTGAGCTGCCTGCCTCGCTGCCTCCTGTCCAGCTCTGACGGTCAGGATGTTCAGTTCAACTCATCTGGTCATGTGGAAACTAAAGCTGCGATGTCACAATTCAAGCTATGATTTGCAGTGCTAGATATCTTCAAGAATCTTCAAGAACGGTATGTATGCCATCATTTCAACAACCTGCGGCTCACCAGCTCTGCCTCTTGCGCAACGCTGTTGCTGAGCGCAGCCTGCAAAGCAGTAGCCTTAGCTGGAGAAAAGAGCTGAATCACTGGACCATGCAAGTGCCATTTCATTCCTCATTGCTCCTGAAGAAAACAAAATATACCTTTGAATCCTTTGATCACTCTTGTGGATCGAAGATGGTTGAAAAAAAAAATGTCAACAGCCTTGCAACTAACTGTCCCGATCGTTAGTGGCAAAGAGATAAGCATTCGCCATCAAACTTCCAATTATGTAAAGATAATTAACAATATGTAAGACTTCGAACAAACAAAGGCAGTCATTGTCACTGTCACTGTCATCTGGACAAGGCAAAGAAGCCGCCGCTGCAATGGCAAGCTCCTCTGGAGTGGCTGTGCGAGTTGTACCTTTAAAAATGAACGGCAGCACATTTGGAGAATCAAGGCTAGGCGAGGTCTGCAACAAACTCTCGCAAAAGGGATCATAAGTGCAACAAAAAGTGAGAGACGTTGACTTTGACTGTCTAGGAGTGGTCTCTTGGCTATTCAAAACAATGCATCAGAATGCGAGTGTGCAGAATGCAAATGCATTATATAAATTTGCTATAAATGCAGCTAGGAGACTGCTCGTCACTGAAGTGGTACTTGTAAGTGTCATGCTCGTAGTGGATGTGCTTGTGGTGGAGGTGCTTGTACTTGTACTGCTGGTAGTTGATGAAGAGCTGGTCGTGAAAGTTGTGGCTGTAGAAGTAGTGCCAGTCCATGTTGCACTTGTTGTCCAAGAAGTTGATGTTGACGAAGTTGTTGCAGTTTTCGTAGTCTGCGTAGAGGTAGAAATTGTAGAAGTTGAGCTCGTTGTGTGAGAAGTAGATGTTTCAGTCTCTGAGGTGCTTGATGAAGTTGTGGTGACAGAGCTGCTTGTTGAGGTGGTGCCAGTCAAACTCGTTGAAGTAGTTGTTAGTGTAGTTCCAGTGATTGAAGTAGAGGTTGTTGTAATGGAAGTCGTGGTAAAGGTTGCTGTGGTAGTGGATGATACTGATGAAGTGGTAGTGTGCGTTGTGAGTGTGTTGGATGTAAGTGAAGTCTCAGTAGTGGAGCTTGTAGTCATGCTGGTCAAGGTGACGGTAGTGCTTGAGGTTGTTACAGAAGTTGATGATATCCTGGTATCATTCAACTGCGCAAGAGACCGAGGACTCTTGATCATTTCAGCAAGTAAGCCAGTCACAGCCCAAACCTTTCAACTATGAAATTTGGGTAGAGTCAGAGATTCGAGGAAGACATCTTGCAGCCATGTCTCGTGAGTGAAGTACTTGTGGTCAGAGATGTTCCTGTCGATGACACCTCGGGATTCAAAGGCAAGAATCACCTGGCACTTCCTGGTAACCCAGTACCAATCAAACAACAATGATACTCAATCCGTTCTTTGACAGCTCCAAACAACACCGCCAAGCATACCTAGCCCCGACTCTTGGACCAACACTTACCGGAAATCAACACGGTGATTTTCCGCCCCAAATAGCCAGCAAGCACTGCAAATACACCGAGGCAAACTCTATCACGCGCAACTGGAGTACAAACAGCTTTGCTGCAATTACAGTAATGTGCCCAGTCCGACTTGGAACATGTCCTTTTCAGAATCATGGTATCCGAGGGCACTTTGGATTCGCAGGCTTTATCTTGGAGCAAGAAACTTCTGAGCGCCGAGGGCTGAACTTTGTAACGCCATGTCACATGTCTGTTAGAACTAAACTCATGTTGGCTAGATACCTGGTGAGTGCAACACCTGCCAGCTTATTGGGCAAGCAAGCCCACTGAGGCAAGGGCTGTACTTGTTGAAGTTTCAGTTGCCCTTTCAGCAAAAGAGCGTCAATTGGCACATATCACATGATTTGCACAGATTCTCACCAAACGAACAGGCAACTTGGGACCAGGCGTGGCGCTGGTACTAGTAGAAGAGCCCACATCGTTGAATAGTAACGATGTGACAGCAGGTGTGCCGATGTATCCTTTCAGGCGGATGCATACGGGCTCTAGACTCTACACATTTGAGAGAAATCGCAAGACTGCACCTGCTTCGCTACCATGAGAGTTGCGGGCATAAATCATGACCTCGGCTTCCACGAACATAGAACATATAGAACATGGAAAATCCTGGACGAACTATAAACACAGTTTACTATAGTTTACTATAGTTTACTATAGTTTACTATAGTTTAGTATAGTTTACTATAGTTTACTATAGTTTATAGCAATTGCTGTGCAGTTCGCTTGCCACTTGACCAAGCCACATGATAATTGGCATCGATATAGACACCGCTGCCAGGACCTGGCGCTGTCGCACACACGGTGACGAGACATGACGAAACGTGACAAGACGAAACGTGACAAGACGTCGCACCTGCATCTATGACCGTCACTTCATTGGTACCCACTGGTACAGGATCTCCAAACGGCACTGCACCGGTGCCAGCCTGGAAGATTTGTGATGAGATGCTGCGACTGTGACACATGCTGCACAGGTACATGGCACATCATGACACATCATGGCACATGGTGGCACTGCATTGCTTGCCCAGTGCCTGATCAGCTGCTATGTATACCACATACTCAGTTGTGTAGGCAAGATCAGCGTTGCCGTCCAGTACCCACCTGTTGCACTTGCAAACTTCCGACTGCGATTTCCAATCTATTTGTGCAATTGTTTCCTGCATGAAGTGAAAAAATAAGAAAGAGCGTGGAAGTAAATGGAAGTTATTACTTTTGAAGCAGCAGGAGCAGGAGTGCAAAAATTAGCTGCAGATCATCATGAGCTTCAAGTTTCGTCCAAAAGCAACAAAGACAAGGGTACCCCTATGCCCTTCCACTGACTAAGGGCATCAAATAAAATCATGGTAACCAAACCCATTGCCTAGCAGAGTCTAGCATCGGCCCCATCCATCTGAGGTCTGTCATCCATGCTTTGAGGTGGGGCCTGACTGTTCCACTTGCATATCCCCCTTGTGCATCCTGGGCAACAGCGCCAACCAAAAGCTTTCATTCACCGCTGCAACCACCCAAAAGAATTACATGTCGTCTTTACCATCTTTACCTGGAAGGTTGTGTCTTTATCATTTCAATTTCAGGAGCAGTTGCTTGTTTTGATCTCTTCTGTGACACATCCACAAACCAAGTTGAACCAAAACTTACAGCCAACACCGACTGGTGCATCCTCGTCCGTAAAGTCAACGGAGCTGAAAGCAGGAGCTGAGGGCGCAGAGCCGCTGTCATCATACCTCACATCCATGTACTTCTGTGTATGGCCTCACAGCATTACAAGTAATGCTTTGATCAGACAAACAATTTTTTTCATATTCTTTCCCTGTCTGTGGCCGCAGCAGCTCCACATACGCAGCCACGCTGACGGGTCCTAGACTACCCTGCCATGGTGCAGAAACTGCACAGAACAGAGCGTGTCTGAACGAAAATAACGCAAAATCTGAATCCAGCAGCCTTCGATTTTCAAAGACCTGACCCCGCTGACATGAAGTTGACAGCTCGCCTGGACCATTGGATAGACAATAATCCAATTGGCCGGGAAAGAAGGATCATCCGTCCTTCGGGCAACCCAAAGCGCTCAAACTTCAAAGGGCTCGGACTCTGAGGCAGTCTGCGGCAGTCTGAGGCAGTCTGAGGTGCTGACTCTCTGGTCAAGCCAGAGATCGAGTGGCTGGCCGCTGGTGGGACCACCGAATCAGTTATCAGCCGCTTTTGGCCTACACGGATCCAAAGTCGGATTCCTTCATGCGTTCACTGCCATCCTTAGACGGCACCACACTGCTGCCAAGAGACTACCAGCAGTGTCGTACGACATGTAGATTGCGTACCTGAAAATGCTGCTGGTTTAATCCCTGGGTGAGGATTTCAAATGATTTGCAAAAAAAAAAACATGACATATATGAATCAAGTACAAGTCCTAGAATTGTTTCAGCACATCGACACAGCTGCGGCCAAACTTAGCATCGGCCACAACATGACCTGATGAGAAGAATATGAGTAAGTGTATGCGGTATACTCAGTAGACAACAATACCGATACACAAACCAACATTAATATATAGTGACTGGGAGACCGCGACAGCACTGCATATTCAGTATACCACCGCAACACCGGGAACACTACCGGCAACTGATAACACGATCTCCCCAGCTTGAGCAGAACACAGCAGGAACCAATGAGGACACAATCACAACGGGACAACAGGACGCCGGTATATCCACGGTATATCAACTGTATTGCACATTGGACATGGACACAACATCCAACAATTCTTTGACACATTCAAAGTCCTGGGTTACATCGTTCAGGAATTGCCTATTCGTGCACCTGTACATTCACCGCCACAACATCCATCATGTGACCACATCAGCAAGCGCCACAAAACTTGGCGCGACATCTAATGATCACGACGCCACAACACGTGGTTTGGACCAAGCCACAACATCCAGCACAGTATGACACAAACACATCCAAACACCACAATCACAAAATAGCAACCACGACATCTACCATATCACAATGACATTCGCACAAACCACCATAACAAGCCCAGGATTGGAAGTCAACATCAAGGACAAGGTGACGTGGGGGTCCACTGTCATCCATCATCCCTCAGAACAGAACTGGGATACCGGGACCCGACCATCGAACCAAGAATACCCCCTCCACAGGCTGCAATTCCCAAGCTCTGCTCAAGGCACGCCGTGATCTCAGCGGTGCTCAGAGGTGTCTGCCATCCGATCGACCCTGACGTGGAGAAATTCTCACAATGAGGATTTGTCTCAAATTGGGTCCCCACGCCAATTTTAGTGAAAATTGATGAAAAATGATAGTAAATGTTGATAAATAATATAAAAAATATAAATATGTAAGAAGTCCTCCATGGGTACCCAATTCAACCCAAGAAGTGGTCCGCCTGAAATGACTACCGGAGTGGGGTCGCTATCCGAAAAGGTGACCTGAGGCGGTGGGCAGAAATTGGGAGTTCAAGCAATGCTTTTGGGAGAAGACCGCGAAGACCACGAAGACCAGTGGCTTCAAGGTACAACCAAAATGATCCAAAATGATCCAAAATGTCACTTGAAGAATTAAATTTACACTTTGAGTAGTCGACTGACGTGCCCGCCAGGGAATACAGGACCGTCGTTGTGCTGGTGACTGCAAGAGTGGTGACATTTGCAAGCTGGGAAAAGCGTGTAGGAAGAAATGAACCACAACAGTTCAGCAATGAAACTCACAGCAAGCCGGAATCTATGGTAAGACAATACATCCCCTGCTAACTCACACCACACCCGAAGCTTTTTACCAGAAGAAGCTCGAACTCCTCACACCTGAAGTGGAGGTAGTGGTTGGCAGCAAATAGACCTCGCTCTGCGCTCCGCTTAGAGGGGCCTGCAAGCATACTGTTGATCACAAGTGGCTGAAGGGAGGGAAATCGCGTGCCTTTCACAAGCAGATAGGTTCAAAATCTGTCAAAGCTGTTTTTACCAAAATGCCACCATAGCGAACTCAAGTTCCTTGCGAACAAGTTCGACCTGCATCACTGCATCGTTGCTGTCACGGCCCCGGAGTGACCTGACCAACGGAGTTTTTTGCCTTGACCACCAAGGCATTGGCACCGCTGAGCCTCATATGTCTTCAGTCTGCAAAAGTCTGCACCAAAAACTTTGTTCCAAGTCCCTGTCCAAATTCAAATGAATCAACATGAATCAACATCAATCAACTATCTATTTACAAGTTTATGAGTAGCTGACATGATCTCACTATCTCCAAATCACTGAGTGGCAGGCAATGTCTCTGGAATGGTCAACTGCCATGTGGTCACCCCAGCTGCAGTACCAATCGTCACAGTGCCCAAAGACCTGCTGATTTCGCAGGGAGCTCTCAGCATGATCAATCCCATTACCTGATTTGATAATTTGATGAATCACCAAAATCTGCCAATCAGCCTGTCTCATACTCCAACCCAGCCTTGAGAGCGTCCCACTGAGGCTGCCAGCCTGCAGTTGCAGGTTGAGGTGATACTAGCATCGTCATCACTGCTAAGATATGTATTTTCAGACTGAGACTAGCACGCAAAATTGCAAGCATTAACGCAAGACAGGATCATTTGCACTGTTTTCTGACAGAAAACGTCGTGGTGGAAGTTTTCAAGAGTTCAATGATGCCTAACGATGCAGTGGATGAGAATCCTATCTTCGTCTTCAGTGAGGGCAATGCTGCAGCTCTATGTACATTTCATGATTTATTGGAAGAATTTGGATGATATCTCTCACAGCGTCTGGACGTCCTCGGCCAAAAAGACTTCGAACTCATCTGCGAGTGCCCAGTCCTCCCAGGTTGACAACTTGCACAACTCGTTACACAACTCGTTGCACTGTTGGAGCCAGGCTTACCATGGCTTACCCAAGACACGCTCCTCGTACACTTTGGGGTAATCAGGTCCAGTAGTAGTCCTGGGCACCGAATCAACCCGAATCACCCCATAGCCCATAGTCCCATAGCCAGGTCTTCAAGTTCTGAGCGCCTTGCCAGTCCAAGATCCCTTCCACGTGCGTCCCAGTATTGGCCGGGTTTGTCTGATCCTGTTGCAAGACGCGCTTTAGTGATGTGAATGCTGTCAAGCAAGTGGCATGCATGTGGACAGAATCGTTCGCGACAAATCGCAACAAGAGAAACTTTAACCCACTCTAAACTTAGACGTTGAGAGATCTGATCTGGTGTACAAACTCGAACGCACATGATATAGCAGCTACGTTGACATGGAAAGTAATACACCAACAAGACTAGAACCCATCATCAGCAAAGCGGAGTGGTTGCATTAGACATATCACATCTCTTCTCTTAAAGTATCTGACTCTTCCCACCTCTGCTTTTCCATCTGTCCATGTTGTTGGAATTTTGACTTCTAAACTTCCTTCGATTATATAAATGTGTTTCTTGATCCCTAATAATGTCTTTTGGAGCCAAAACATTTGTTTTGATGCCTACCCCCGATTGAGGCAATTCACAAAGCTCATTTCCCACTTCATGCTAGTGGGTTTCTGCGCAGAGAGGGAACGCGGCAACGCTTTTGCTGGTCCCTGCTGCTTGTCACATTGCCCATGCAGAAAACAAATAACGGTTGTTAACCTCTCTTTCAAGAATGTTTGCTTCAGCTGACACATATCGACATCTGTCAGCATACGAGTATGCAAGACCACTCCACCACATCAACACAAAATCAGCCCGCCGTAAAGATCAATGTCTCGAGCTGGATGCTAGTTGGCAGCTCGGTGCTTTGAAGATCCTGGCACCCGAAGATGTCCCAAATTCGACGAAATTCGACGAAATTCGACGTGTTGGTGGAGAGTTGGCGGAGAGTTGGTGGAGAGTTGGTGGACTCGGTTCGACGTGCAGCCAAAAGACGATCAGTCGCATGTGAGCAGCTTCTGACACTGTCTGTATTGGAACACCAGCTGCCATTTGGCCAACTGGAGAAGCGCCCGCAGACAAAACCTGCGTACACAAGTTTCAACATTTTCAACTGCAGACTTGAAACTATGTGTACTTAGTTTTAGACTGACAAACCTTTTGACAGTTTTCAACATCTTCTCATCGCAATACACTATCTCTGGTTTTAATAGGCAACCCAAAGTTCAACTACGTTTAGATTCTTGGGCAGCATCTTCAGACTTCGAAAGAAACTGTTTGTCAGGCGACAAATAGCCATTGCGCAGGATATTGGTCTGCCGGATAGGTAGCAAGGTCGGTGCCATCAGCGCTCCTCTCTGTTACACCCGACTGGAATGTTTTCTGAAAAAATATGTTTCACAGACAATCATACAATCAAATTCAATCAATGATAAAAAATCAGATTGTCACTGAAATTCTGTCCTCTTTTCAACGGCTCCAAACACCCAACTGGTGGTCGGGTCCAAGACACATAAGCACCTCAGTTGTGATTTTGCAGCACTTGCAGAACTCAGTCAAGTGTATGTTCGCTGTTGTCTGTGCTCCCATCCCGTCTAACATTCCGAAACGGATCAAAATGAATTGGCTCTGGGAAAGCCGGAGCCAACCAATAACTCTATGCAATGGTGTTATCTCGGGGAGAAGCTTGTTTTCTCCTACCAAAGGGCTGGTCTCCTCTTTCATATTTTTTTGTGGGGTGGTGCAGGCAACCCCATAGCATGCATAGCCAAGGGAATGCAGCCCTGATAAAACAAACATCTCAATGACAAAAATGAAGGCAATCTGAGTCTGAGGACTTCCAAGAATTTGGCACAAAAAATCCGAGGGAAATAAAATGGATGCTTCGTTTAGGATCGTTTAGGAAGCCACATTTAGCCTCGGAACGGCATGGGAAGCGTCGCATCAAAGAGCTGAGTCTTGACCACTGTGTCAGATAGATCCCAGTTCAACCGAACATGGTACTGCACGATTCCGGTAAGATCCGCGGGCGCAACCTCATGTATGATCTCATGACCCTTGCATGTCTCGCAAGACATGCACCTGGCATTGCACTGCAATACAAATACAGGTCTAGAAATCTGAAGATAAAGGCTACAACATGGCTTAGACATGGCTACTTTGCACACTGCAGTATCTCTGCTGTCACAAGCTGCGGTAAGCTGCTGCCACGATGCCCATGAGACGGTCCCACCAAGGTAGAAAGCCCTAGAGTCTGTGTCTGTGAACGAGATGCTGGTGACAGATGCCAAACCACTGCTTAGTCTCCTTGGGATGACGAACAAACACAAACTTTGCAAACTACATGCACAAGGGAATCCACTATTGGAGTCAAAACATGCCTCACATAACACTGCAGATTTGAACGCTGGTCCATTGCAGTTTAGTTTCCTCACTTCATCACCTGGCAGTCTCAAAGGAACAAACCCTCAGAGCCTCGGTCTGAACCTGCTGACAGTGTTAATTCCCTTGCCTTGTGGTGTTTCTCGGAAGTGCTCTGAATGGTTCAAACGCACAGTGGGCTTTGTGTCAACATCTTCAAAGAATACATTTGCAACCTGGGCAGGAAAAACATTTAGCATCTGCATTGAGACTTCGGCAGAACAAATGTGTTTGTTTGAATACATAAAATGCACTTCAATTTTGTGAAGAACCGTGCGAGCCTGAGATGCACAGCTTATTCGAAGCTCTGCAAGAAAAGCGCAGAAGAACAACCTCGGGGAAGCAACCAGTAGTAAATTCAGTTGTCACTCGAGTCCGTAGCAAGAGCTGCAGCCAAAGGCACAGAAAATTCAAGTTTCCCAGCGCAGAACTAGAGGAATGGAGCAGCGGTCGCCTGCAAATTACCCAATAAAACCATGTCCCAAATGAGGATGGGCAAAGGAGACTTCTTTCAATGCTATGATGACGCGCGGTTGCAATAGCACAAAGTACGCTCAAGTACACCAAACCCACGGAAGGTCAAAATCAACTGTTCATTATTGTGTATACTCGGTCTCAAAACAACAAGCACCTTTGGCGCTCCCACATTGGCTGCAACCTGGCGTGACTTGACATGCAGGTTTGGGAACGAGACCGAAACCGACCCAGGCACCTGAATTCTTGATGTCCTCGTTTGAGTGACTGAAACGCCTGCACAACCACTGTTGTTGTCAATGAATCAATGACATTTTGGCAACATAGGCAACACACAGTACTGCGTCCGCAACTGAGAATGCCACATGGTTGAGCGACATCTCTTGCTGAATGTCCCTCCCTGTAGCCAAACGGCAATATGATGTGCATAGTTTTTCTGTAGTAATCATAATCACACAAAGAACAGGGCAAGTGATAGAACACAACCCGCACCATTGCAAAAAAAACAGGCGCAACAAAAATTACAATTATTCTTTTGGCATGGAAGTTAACACGATTATTCTACACTCCACAAACAGCGCAGTGAATTCGCCAAACGTATCGTAAATTTCCAAAAAAAAACGACGGGGTCTCGCTCAAAAAATGAAACAATCGCAAAGTGGACATGCGGATGGAAACGTGGATCAAAAGCAGCAGCGGTTCTTTTTTACAGGGGAGAAAGTCAGAAAAACAAAATTTTTCCGTCAAAACAGAGGTAAAACCCGCCCACCCAACCCTTGAGATGGAATATTTCAGACGAAACATAAAATTCATCTTCTCCAAAACGGAAGTTTGGTTTGGAAAAACATTTACTGCGCACGAGCAAAACGAGATTTGCTAAAAAGTTTGGTTTCCAAAAAAGCAAACAAACTCCAAAACCGATTTGCTCAAAAGGTTGTTGCGTGTGCAAATAAGGGAAAGTTTCTCAGAGAGAAACTCACTACAAACTCACGATACACGACATTCAAAGCATGCATATGTACCAGTAGTGCCGCACAAGGCGGTAGCGGAAGTTTCAAAAATTGGAAACCTATAGGAGAGATTGGTTGTTGTGAATCACGGATGGCAGAGCGAATCCACTGATGGACCGAAAGGTGGTTGGAGCTGTGTTTTTTGGAGTGGCTGCAATGGTTGCAGTGGTCACCTGGTCGGTCACCTCACCCACAACTACTGGATGTAGCGTGGTGTAGCGCAGCTGTAGTTGTAGATATAATGTAGTGGAGTTGTAGTTATGGTGTAATGTAATGTAATGCAATGTAATGCAATGTGGGGTAGGGTAGTGCAATTGAGTGTGGTGTGGTGTGGTGTAGTGCAGTGCAGTGCAGTGCAGTGCAGTGTAGCGTAGTGTAGTGTAATGCAATTAGGGTAGTGTAATGCAATTAGCGTAGTGTAATGCAATTAGTGTAGTGTAGTTGTAGTTGTAGTTGTAGTTGTAATTGTAGTTGTAGTTGTAGTTGAGTTGTAGTGGTATGGTAGTGTAGTGTAGTGTAGTGTAGGGTAGTGTAGTGTAGTGTAGGGTAGTGTAGTGTAGTTGTAGTGTAGGTGTAGGTGTAGGTGTAGGTGTAGGTGTAGGTGTAGGTGTAGGTGTAGGGGTAGGTGTAGGTGTAGGTGTAGGTGTAGTGTAGTGTAGTGTAGTGTTTGTAAGTTCCGTGGGTAGCTGTGGCCGGTTACCCCATTTTTTCGGGACTTGGCCCCGGCCAGAGTCCCGAATGGCCATGTCATGGATATACCCATCATGGGGCCTCTCAAAACCACCTCCTAGACCAAAAAGAAGGCTGGATGGAAGGGAATGGCATGAAGGAGATACCATGGAACAGGTCGAAACATGTAGGTAACCATCACCTTGAAAAATGTGATTGTTGTGTCCATTGTTAATATGGAATGCCCGAAAAATTATTCTTATTGATGGTCGGGTAGGGCTGTGAAATACGATTCGGTGACTCAAAAGAAGTAATTTTGTTTTCAGCAAGATAAAAATCAGGGAATTAACCACACCATCATGAGAGCTGAACAGTCTTGAAATTGTGAAACAAGTCTTAAACAAGTATCTTTCAGGATTTATTTTCGTCTCCTTTGTGCACATTATATCACAAGAATCATGTAATACTATAGTTACTATATCAAAACCGAGTTAAAACCAGGTAATAACCCTGTAATCCTGTGGTCATGGGATTTGTGATCCTCATTACCCCATCCTTAACGTGCGTTGCGCGTTGGTTCACCCAACCAAATCGTCATGTCATTTGCCGTCGCCCAACTAAGTGGCCAAACCGACCCAACTGAACCGCATTTTTGCCCCATCTTTTTTTCGACACTGTTTGCTTGGTAATTCTAATTCTGGGATGCACTCAGCCCCAAAGGGCCCAATGGCCCGATGGCCAACTAGGCCGAATAAGCCAATGAATTGGCGAATTGATGCGCATAGTAGATGCTTGTTGTCGTTTGACCTGATCAGCGGGGCCAATCAGCAACAAGCAATTAGTTCGTGTGGCAAAGAACTGCACACATTCGGCAAATAGTAAAAATAATATATATAATTATAATTATAAAATTTATATATATATATATATTTATTTTGGTTGGGTCGAAAATAAAGGTAACATGTTGTTGACGTGTGATACTGTTGACAACATGTAATCTGATAAAAGTGGACATGTCAAAATCATGCAAAACCATGTTGGGCATGATATGACATGTAGTTCTTTTTTCCGGCACTTGCCTGGAAACGCTTCACATGAAGCTGGAATGATAAAGGGCAGCGGATGTTGGACTAGTCTGAAATGGTTCATGAGGTCATGCGTGTGCAGACGTTTACTAAAGTTCACTCCACATATCTTCTCAAAATAAGGTGGTATCATGTTCCATGAGACTCAACTTATTTTGGTCTTGATACGTGGCTGCACACACTGACATGAACTCCGTGTGGTATTCTCAGTTAGAACAAACAGACATGTCTCAAATCAACCCGCAGCTGCACAGTCTTTTCACGTTGGGGATTTGTCTCAGGCTGGTCGCGTCATCACCCCAGGAGGTTGGCCAGCCCTTTTCCAGGTCATGTCGAGACATACATCGGTCTTCGACTTGTTGTGCCACTTGGCTACCAACTGACGAGATAGACAGTCCGAAGGGTTAGATTGGCTGGGTACCCTTTCAAGCCAAATTTGACACCCGGACTGTTCTTCAACTTTGAACACTCGTTCAAGTAACCTGTGGTTGGTCTCATTCATTGACCACGACTTCAAGAAGCTACATCTGACAGACTCACTATCGGTAAATGCAACGAAACGACAGTGGTCCCACTCCGGAGACCACAGCTCTACTGCAACCAGAAGTGCGAGCATCTCGAGCTCTTGAATGATGGTCACTTGACCCTTTTCTTTGATTGACTTGATGAGGTCATCAGAAACCTTTTCACTAAAGAAACCTAACATTGTCCCATACTCATCATAAGCTACTCCTCCTACCCCACTATATCCATCCTCATCGAAAGAGGCGTCAACATAGACGTGGAGATGAGTGGAAAGCCGCCCCTTAATTTTGCGTGGCAAATTTTGGGTCAGGAGCGCGTGGATGTTTTTAAGGGCAAGAGCGGTTTCCTCATTCAGGAGTTTGCAGTTGCTTTGGACGTGCATCGACAACTTCCTCACCAGGTTCCGAGCCCTTCTACCGAAGAGTTGTCCGCTGGCGAATAAGAGGCGGCCCCTAAGTTTCTCACCGTCTCCCCTTCTGAGGGTGCCGGTGTCCAAGATCTCTTCAATGGCCTCGCAGAGCACATCTACTCGATCCTTGGTGTTGGTAACGACCGTCAGACCTTCGCCTGACATCTTGAAATCAAATTGAACTCCCAGAACCTTGCACACGGACTCGTAGGGAATTAACTTGTCGGATGAGAGGTCCCACCCCAAGATGTTAAAGAATGACGTTATTATCAACTCCGTGTGCTTGCTCAAGGCTGCCTCAGTTATAGAAAAGAAATCGTCGAAATATGATGACCAAAGCAAATGCAGCAACTTAGCTCCAAGTTTCCACAGAGCATGTGAAATTCTAAGAAAGGCGGTCACTGACGCGATCGATCCGAAAGGCAGGACCTTTTGTTGAAAGATTTCGGCCTGGCCCAAGTTAGGGTTATACACTACCAGAAACGAGTCCGCATCGTAGGCAGAGTCACTAAGGGGCACTTGTTTGTATGCGTGGGCTAGATCCCAAGTCTTGGCCTCCAGAGTCACACTGCTTCTCCCGGCCTCAGCCTCCCTGAGTACACAGGCCACTAATGCGGCTATGTGGTCCATGGTGTGTACCGTGGCGCTCTCAGTCTGAGTCACGCTTGAGTTCACCAAAGAAGCTTTGTAGTCATCGATCGGTCTGGTCTTATTCTTCTGTTTTACTCCAAACCGACGAGTTAGCGTCGCTCCACTGGGGAGCTCGGCAAGCTTCACAGGGCCTACTAGGAAACCTTTCTGGACCTCCTTCATGGTGGCGTCGTGCAGCTGCTGGTCCAGCTCCACGTCACCAGAAGATTTCACAGTCTGCATCATGCCTTTTCTGCTCAAGTCTGCAACATTCCTGAGCTCCTGACATGAAATGGTTGCAGGGCGGACGTTCTTGGCGAACACTCCCGATTCCGGCAACATGCCAGTGAGGTCAAATCCTGATGTCAAGTCCTTGATCACCTCGGTGTCTGAATGTCCAGCATCACGCAAGAGCATTTCAGTAAGAACAAGTTTTTTGTTCTGCAGAATTTTTCGTCTGCGTACTGACATTTGCGATTTCAGCTCTTCTTCAGCTGGAGCCAGGTCAGCAGCAAGTTGGATCCACCTTTTGATCTCTTCCGTCCGTTCTTTGGCCAGGTCGCCTACCGTCTTGCTCAAGACATGGCTGACCACTTCCCTCATTTCGTCAGGAAACATCGTGTGGATCCTTGTAGGGTGGCCTAATTGCAGTGCCTCCGCAACAAATTCTTCAGGAGTTCTATGGACACCATAAGTAACGGATTGAGCACTCGTGTCAGCCCCCCGAGGAGGAGTGCTTAATGGCCTAGAGTTGGGTGGTTTAGGGTCGTTAGGGGAACATTGGACTAAGGTTTTAAATTCGGACACCATGGGTGGGATGCCGCGGCGCGGCTGCAAATCTGTTGAAGCCCTCATGGTGTTAAGAGATGCTTCTTGCAGTGCAAACACTGGTGCCGAACATTGAAAACCGTCTTGTTTTAATTGTAAGAGAAGCTTTGCACCTATGGAACGGCACAAGTCCCACGGGTAGGCTGTCTCTTCTGAGGTGTTCCAGTGGCCGCTAGGGTTTTGGCCCCAGGGCTCATGTGCATGGTCATTTTGGCAGTATGCTTGTAGAGATTGGAA